CATTCAGATAAATCTTTATTTCCTAAAAATATAAAGCCCTTGCGTCATTCTGTTTGATTACTCTCTCAGGATATAAAATGAAAATGTAATCAGACTGTCTTTTAGCCTGTCTTTTTTCGGTTCATTAAATATTTGGTCTTGGAATAACACGTGCAATTTGTCAAAGCAAGGTACATAAACTTTGGCAATAGCAAAAAACTGTCCTGACCCTTATGAAAATTAAAGAGGCTTTATATGGAACTTACTACATAAGTTTAATTAAATCCAGTCTGCTCTCTAAAGAAATGTCCATAGAAAAAGGACATTCAGGGATATCCATTTGCCCTCTCTTATGTTTACTTACAGAACTACTGATTATAGCTTTAAAAAACCTTCTCTTGTTTCAAATATGGTGTAATGTGTGCATCTTTGGTCAATAAATGTTATAGCAAAAAAAAAAGCTATTGTGGTTTAAACTTGTAAAGATAGCTTTCAGTATATGAATTCCCTATTTCCCATATATATTCCCCATTTAGCTGTCTATTAAAAGTGACAGTTACAGGGGTTGGAATAAACCATATACTACTGCCAGGAGTGCTTACAGTCAACTTTTATTCATGATGTTTAAATCTCTTTTTTGAAAAGACAAGCTGTTGCTGTGAGTTCTTACAAAGTGCTACGTGGAGTTGATTCAAAACTTCTCTTTAAACTGGAATTTCAAATTTCCCTTTAAATGAAAAGTGCACTTTGACTGCACTAACAATTCCCCTCTATTCCAGCACTGTCAAGCTGCCAAACGGCATTTCAGTTGAAGTGAACAGAGACCTTAGAACACATACACAAGTAAAGCTTGAGGGTTTTTTTGTACATCCTTGGGTACGTCCTCGGGTTTAAGTGTTCATACCAGGATCATGGTTGCAGCTACAGCCATGATCCTGTTATCATTTCTTTAGTTTTTTTTTTATGTAAAAGTGATCCGAGAGTCTATTCAGCTGCCTGGTCACTTTTGCTGGGCAAGGAAGGGTTAGACTCACATATACAGTATATGTGCTGTATATACTCTATAATCAACAATGTTAGGTGGGTTCAACATTGTGAAATTGAGGAAAAATGTGTTTAAGATGCCTAGAAAATTTTTACACCAGGGCTGTGTATCATAGTCAGGTGTTGTCAGTTAAAGAGGAGGGAGACTAGTGAACTTCTATTCACTGATTTCCCCTAGCTAGTAAGAACCAAGGATTTTGTCACTTCTGGTTTCTGCTTTCATTTTCCCTTACTGCTGTGGCTGGGGAAAAAGCTAATGGAGCACAATCTGTTTTATGATATGACTAAAAACTCATGTAACAACGAAGGAGCATGGGCTAAATTTCTACCCAACTTCAATTTTTTTCATAAGTACCCACAGTTTAGAGGAAACATAGGAGTGCCAATTTAACATTGTCTAAAGTGCAGTTTCCTTATAATAAAGTTGTATATCTGGTAACCCCATACCAGTCATCTCCTCAAGTAACTGCAGGTTAGTATAATCTAGTAGATATGTGTGATTTGTTTTGTTACAAACCAAGTTCGGACAAAATATTTGTTATTTGATGATTCGGATGTATCTGAATTTCTGAATCACAAAAGTAACGATTTTCAATGAAGCCAAAAAAAAATTATAGCAAAACAAATTATCCAAATTAGAAAATGAATTCAAATTCGAAAATTAATTTGAAATGGAAAGTTATTGCAATAAATATAGTAAGTTATTAAAGTGAAATAAGACAATGATTCCTACTTAGGTTGCTTTATAGAATAGAATAAAATAAAACAGAAAAGATTGGAATAGAATAAAACAGAATAGCATAAAACATAATAGAATAAAATAGAATAGAACAGAGTAAAACAATAAAGGAACAGAATAGAATAAAACAGAATAGAAATGAAAAGAATAGAATAGAAAATAAAATAATACTATAGAATAGAATAAAATAGAACAAATATAGCTGTCTCCAAAATTTTAATTTTGAAATTCGAATTTGAATTTTGAATCAATTTCAAAATAACGAATATATGAAATGAATCTGAATATACAAAATTAATTCCGAAACCGATCATTCTAAGATAACGAATATGACAAAACAAAATTATTAATTTAACAAATGAAGCCGAAACAAAACAAATTATTCCTTTCCGTGCACACCTCTATAAGCTAGTGATGGCTATCTTAATTTAACCCATTTCCTCTAAACCCAGGCTGCCAGGTACCTGTCCTTAGCCTATGGCTAAACAGTGAAGGAGAAGCAACACAGTGATGTGCTCAGATCTACCTTAATTTGTGTCTATTATATCTGCCTAGAGTTCAACTTTAACCACTTCAATACCAGGCACTTATACCCCGGGCCTGCCCAGGCCAATTTACAGCTTTCAGTGGTGTCAAACTTTAAATAACAATTGCGCAGTCATAAAAAGCGGTAATAACCACTGTGTTTTTATTTTTTGCTAAAGATAAAAAGCCAAACATTTTGGAAAGAAACACATTTTTCTTTGTTTCTGTTATAAAATTTAGCAAATAAATAATTGTTCCTTATAAATTTAGGCCATAATGTATTCTGCTACATTTGTTTGCTTAAAATAACCCAAATCAGTGTTTATTATTTAGTCTGTAGGAAAGTTATAGAGTCCGCAAACTATGGGATATATCTGAAAATTTATTAATCCTGATGTACTGACGGCCTATCTCATTTCTTGAGGCCCAAAAATGTCAGGACAGTACAGATACCATCCAAATGACCCCTTTTTGGAAAGTAAACAGTCTGAGATATTTAGTAAGAGGCATGGCGAGTTTTCTGAAGTTGTAATTTTTTTGTCATAATTTGTTTGAAAATTAAAAAAACAAATTCACTTTTTTTTTGTTTACATACTGTCAGCAGTCCAGTACAGTATCATCACATAACTGGTGTGGCGGTGATCAGGGACACTGACTGTTGACAGTATGAAAATAAAAAACTTTTAATAATTCTTTAAAATTTGTTTTATTTTTTTTATTACATTTTTTATTTTTTTATGATTTTTTTTAACTCACTATGACCAGAGCAATATAGTGTCACCATAGCAATATTGTATTGCTCTGCGTAAGTGATCAGGATTTCTTATTTTTTACACATTATGATTGCTTATAGCAGTGAATTTCACTGCTATAAGCAAGAATTTTACTGAATCAAATAGATTCATACAGTTTGTATTGTTGTGATTAGCTGTGATTGGCCACAGCTAATCACATGGTACAGATGGGCTGTGGTTGTCCATGTCTGTACCATGTGACCACTGTGACCATTCACAGCTAACAACACAATTGTAACAATGAATGGCATAAATTGAAGCCAATCGTTGTTTACAATTGTCATGTGATTTGCTGTGATTGGTTACAGCGATCACATGGTACCAGCAGTAGGCCGGTACACAGATCACGCCTGCAGCATTGCCCCACAGCCGTGCACAAAGCTCGTTTCGGGAGGACATCAAATGATGTTCACCTGGTAGAACAAAAGTTTCACCTGGCCAATAAATTGCTATAGGTTGGGCGGGAAGTGGTTAAAGTGTATGTCCAGCAAAAACTTTTTTGTATTCTGTAAACTGTTGTCACTGGAACAGTAGGTAAGCGAAAATGTATTTAACAAAGCCCTTGATAACACTAAAAATCCAACAGGGGCTCTAATCTTTCCTCACACTTCCGAAAACTAGAGAAAAAACTTTGGCTAAAGAAAAAATTTAATACCCCGGTCACATCAAACCTGACTTTGAAATCGTGCAACTTACAGTGAAGTCGCAGGATTTCAAAGTTGGGTTAACTGCCGATTTCAGGTGCGATTTGCAAGACATCTAACACTGATGTATATGCAAATCACACCAAAAGTAGTGCATGTACTACTTTGGAAATCGATGCGGCTCCGCCCAAGTCGGAACCACACTGATATGACCGCTGTAATTGCAGACAATAGGGTGCAACTTGACCTGCGATTTGCAAATTGCATGGCATGCAAATCGCATGCCAATTTGCATTCAGTGTGACCGGGGTGTTAAGTGCTAATGTATGGAATTCTATCATTACTAATAAAATATCTGAGCTGAAGAATAAGCCATTAGAAATGTATTTCTTTTATTATATTTTGGCTGCAGTTCTTTAATAATGCAGTTACTTCATGCCATGTGTGGTGTACAGCAGTTTGCAAATTGTCACATCCTTTTGGGTTTCTCCTTTCATAACTCTCAGTTACTGAACTTTCCCAAAAGACTAGCTAATAAATGGATTCTGGATTAGCCAACTGCCACATATCATAAACCAACAAGAAAATTATTGTGGTATGACTTGTCAAAATGTATGCACACAAAGAAAAAACATCCATCACTCCATAACTATATTACAAAAAATTCTTCTAAGCTTTGATCCTCTTCGAAGCAGATGATCTTCAATATCAGAGAGGGTGGGGCTGATATTATAATGTCAGCACTGTTCTCCCAAGTATACTGTAAGCCCAGGCTGAGGTGGTGGCACAACCCCAGTGGATATCTCCATGAAAGCCTGGGCTCACAGGAAATGGGTTGGTGGACACTGGCCATTATTCAACTTGGAAGAGGGCAGACAGTGGGGACAAGGTTTGAGACAAGGTGGGCGAGAGTTGCATGTTATACTTGTAATATGGCTGGGCAACTTCTTTTTTTTAATAGATTAATGGTTTTATTAGACAAAGGAAGTCTAACTGACTAAACGAAAGAAAGTAGCATGATTGAAAACAAAGTACACTTAAATACATATTGATTATATTCATAAGGTGTATAACATTTAGATGGGTTTCTGGTTGATGAGATGAAGTGTGGTGTGAGTTGTGTATGGATCGTACACACAGATGCTTCCTAGCAACATGTCATGTAATATCACATGAGCAATCCGTTTTTGGCAATGTGAAGTAAATTACAGAAGAGAGGTTCCCGTTGAACCAGACGATGGCTTTAGCTCATATACCAAATGTCAATTTATCAGGAATGATGTAAGCATGTGTTATATAATCTGCAGCTTCTCTAATCATATCATGTTACATTCCCACAGGCTAGGGAGGATGTTATCCATATGCTAAAGACAGAGAAAACTAAACCCGAAGTTTTGGAAGCTCATTATGGGTTTTCAGCTCCGGAGGATGTACTGAGGGTACTGCACAGAGATGCTATCCTGGCAAAGGAGAAATCCATAGCAGAAGATGTGTATGAAAAACCAATGGCAGAGGTAATGTTCTTATTACTGTTAGATACAACAAATATAAGTATACTTTTGCTTATGTCTACTGTTTGTTGGTGACAGATCTATGTACATGTCTTACTATATCTTCTTTCATTTGATTTTCATTTGTATACTGTAGCTATCAAGCTGTTTGTCATTTACATTTTTCGTTACCTCTGATCTATCTATCTATCTATCTATCTATCTATCTATCTATCTATCTATCTATCTATCTATCTATCTATCTATCTATCTGTGTTTGTAAAATTCATTATATCTTAACAAATGTTAAATTGTGTTGTTTCATACAGTCAATAAATATATATGTACTGTATCTTACTGTATAGGCTGTAAAAATATGTGCTTCTATGCTTTGTAAGAAAACCTAAATATGTGGAATATGCTGAATAAATATATAGAAACAAATAGATATGCAGGATGCACGTTGATAAGGCTTTTTTCAATCTGTGCAAACCAGTAGCCTTGTACATGTTCGTTTCCCTTTAAGTAAATGAGAAGCTGCCGTGAAAACTCCATGTACTGTATGACACTTTCACAGCCTCTAGCTTAATAGTGTCAGAATATTGATACTACCCCCATTGCACCAAGCCATGCATTTAATCCCTTCACATCACTCTGCTGTCCACACATAAGAAGCCAGTGTACTCAATCATGGACTGAGTTCAGAAAGAGGATTTGAACATAGCTTACTGTGGTTTGCAATTTTTTTTATATATAGCGTGTGACTATTTGTTATGTTACTGGGAATGAAAGCTGCTTACAATACAAAAGATATGTTAACAATATTTAGCTTGTAAAATCATTTTTTTTTAATTAAACAAGATACATGAGCTACACAACAGCATAGTTTCAGATCTTTGATAAGCTTTTGGTTTTATTGTTTTGATTTTAATACTATTAATTTTTGTCATATTGTTATTACAAATTCCTGTAGAACAAAATGACTATATATTTATTGTATAAATAAATATTTGTAGTTGCTCTCTTTACCAAAAGTTCTTTGGTGGATAAAGGATTGTAGTTGCTTTCTTCTGTTTATAAATCATTGCAGTTATTTTTGTAAGTTATATTGTTAAAAATAAAGAATGGTTTGTTACTCTTAGGTGCTTAAAACCTGATGTTCCATTTAGGTGTGGTCCTTTTGGTGTTCAGAACAAGCCTAAACTTCACTGTAAGCAACCCATCTTGCAATTTGTAGTTATATATCTTATACTCACCTGTCCTTGCTCCTCTGAGATCTTGTGCAGCCAAAGTATATCCACAGCTCCAGAAGTCTAGCCACGATTTTCTTCTATTAGGTTTACCAATAGTGGTTGGCCTCTCCATAGCAATGCGTTGACAAAGCTTGGCCAGAAGACCTCAAGACTGGAGCAGTGACTGTGCAGCTTCCTGCAGACCACAGAGTGAAGATCTCAGAGGAGTGAGGACAGATTGTATAAAGCAGGGTTTCTCAGACAGGTTTCCATGGAACCCTAGGGTTCCTCCAGAGATTGCTAGGGGTTCATTGAGCAATGAGCAATTTATGCCTCTCAGGTAAGTTCCCACTGACACCATTGATCTTTTTAGCTATCTATAAGGGGGTAATTCTTCCCAATGACCACAAGTGTAAGGAGCATTCTTTCCACTGACCATCACACTGATGTATCATGAGTTGTACATATAGTAATTTTTAGCAGGGGTTCCCTGAGACCAGAAAGTTAATTCAAGGGTTCCTCTGTGTTGAAAAGGCTGAGAAAGGCTGGTATACAGTGTAGTATAAGGCTCAAGGTAGCCATACATATTTGATAAATGATTCATATATTTCCAACAATGATATCCAAAGATTGGTAAGCTGCAATATATTACATTTTTCTTTTGCAGCTTAGATGCATTTTAAGCCTTAACTACCCTTTAACTAGTTAACCTAAAACTTATGAGCTGAACTTTGAAGGCAACCATTACTTTATAATGCTAATATTTAGCTTAGCGCTAAAGTGCTGATTTGTAGATATCTACTGCAAATCTCTAATGAAGCCAACATTATAGCACCTATATGACTTAAAAAAGTTATGCAAGTATCTGTAAGTTGTTCTTATGACACTTCTGCCCTGTGCTGGAAATGCTGCAGATAAATTTCTTCTGTCCTCACAGCTTTGCTACTGCAGTTGTGGTGCACTGCAATTTTTTAATTGCCTTACCTTATATAATAATTGAATAAAAAAAAAGTGTGGGCAGTGGCTGAACTGTGGGGAGTGTAGAGATTTACATGAAGAGTTTCCAACAAAGGAAAAAATTCCCTTATGCCATCAAACACTGCCGGGAACAACTCTGTGAAGTTTTTTTTCACACTCATATCCCTCACAAATGACTAGTTCTGTTACCTATTTACCATGGTTTGTTCACATCATATCTCATGCATTAGCATGCGCATAATATGTGCATGCTAGCATGCAATTTTAAGTTCCAGGGCAAGGTGTCGCAGTGCATTTTAGAACTTTTTTCTGTTTTTTTTTTTACCTATTTGCTATTACTTTGTGCTTTGGTTCATTGCCAAATCTTGCAGTGTGTCCAGACGTTCTGTGCAAAACATGTCCTTTTTTTAATGCAACCGAAATTATAGGACATTCGAAAAATTGCCTTTTACTTGTGTTGAGACTGCATCAGCCAATGCAAAACAGCCCAATGCTGCTGGTTTGAAGGAGCCTTAAAAAACATTGCACATTCATTAAAAGCATGTGATATGTTTTTAAACTTGCTATTTTAATTGAATTTACACAGCTGGACAGACTTGAGGAAAAGCAGAGAGAAACCTACAGACGCATGTTAGAGCAGCTTCTTCTGGCAGAGAAGTGTCACCGCAGAACTGTTTATGAACTGGATAATGAGAAGAGGAAACACACAGAGTACATGAACAAGAGTGACGATTTCACTAACTTGCTGGAGCAGGAGCGTGAAAGGTGAGTGTACTAAGAACAATCTAGTATTACAATTATTTCTTTGTGTCTAAAAATGACCTAAAAAGGCCCAGGAGGCAGCGGCAGGAAGAGGTTAAGATAAAAAGTTACCCTTTAACCCATTTTGTAATATCTTTAAGAAATAGTTAATAATAGCTTTGTTACCCTTCATTTTACTGTTTGATGACCTTTCCCTAGACTATGCCTTTGGGGCATGTGTGATTGTCTACTTTTTGTATTTGGTTTTAAAAAGTATTTTTGGTAGAACAGAAGATGAATGTGCAAATGTATCAAGGATGTCGTCATAAACTAAACTTCTGCTGATATCCCTTTTTATGTTCAGTAATGTCCAAGCAAAGACCTTAAAGTGTTACTAAACCCAGGGCCCTGCATTCACTCAATCTGGTCTCCCACAGTACACAGAACATGGGAATGCTATTATTTTTGTAAATATAAACTGCTAAATTCCTTTTTCTCATCAGCAGTTAGAGCAGTCTTGTGAATTTTAGTAGAGCACTGGTTAAAGCTTGTAGGAGGGCTTTTCATTCTGCTCTAGGAGGATGCAGGACCCCTGACCTCTGTCTGGTCAGTGCTGATTGGCCCTGTGCTGATCAAATGCGCTCTCCCAAGAAAAAGAAGAAAAACCTTTCTAGCAATACACACCAAACTGAGCATGTGCAGAGTGTCTCCACACAGTATTTTATGAAATATCAGGAGATAAGAGGGGACATTGGAAGAAAGGGAGGATTAGAGAAGTCAGGATCAAATGGCACAAAGCAGAGGATTAACCCCTTAGGTTCCACTGTGAGTATAACAAGCATGCTTTACTGCATATACAGACTGATTTTACTGTTGTGGGTTTAGTAACACAATAATTAACTTTGAGAAAACTCTGTCAGAAGACATTTGAGTGCATGCAAGAGTAAGAAGTAATTGATATATTACAAAAAGGTCTATATATGCAGCAGACTACAGGTTATGATTGAACAAAATCCTATATAGCAGTAAGTAGGAGAGTTTTCACATGCTCTATGTTTCACATCAGTGCGGTCTTCATTTCAACTAAATCATCAATGAGATATTATGGAGAGCATGGTTTCTTTAGAATTTGATATTTTGCTTTGACACTAATAAATGTAACCTTACACTGAACAATATCAACCTCAGCCAACTTTTCTACAGTTTGCAAAGCTTCTGGTGGAATGCAACTTTGATCTGACTAAACCATTTGGGGTCTAAATAGGACATATCACACATCAAAGTTTCAATCTTGTTTTTTCCTCCAGGCTGTTTGACGCCTGATCAATGGCTACATTGAAAACATAAAATAGAAATGATGCAAGGGGGATAGAAAAGAGTTCATCCTGTGATTTCTCCAGGAATTTTCTGTCCTGGAGAACCTTTTTTGTGATAACTGGCTTTTAATTGCAGCATTAACATGATGCTCCAGAAGGGTACTGCTTGCTTTTGTGACAAATGAGTCCACCATTTGGATTATAAATAGGTTCCCGACCGTCATAACTTGATGTTTGGCAAGTTCCATGCCTTTAAAATATTGAATCCAGATGTTTGGAGATACCCTGAAACTGGTCTAGTAATATCAAAGATTTGTATAAACAGTAATGAGATAAGCAATGTTTCATATTGTATATAAGCATGAAGCAAAACAAAATGTTGGCCTTAATCACAGCTTTACTGCCAAATGTAGGGGATTCCGCAATGGGTTCCAAAAAAGAAAGCAAATCTTTTGATTGGTCTACAGTGTTAGCAAAGATAGTACACAGTGTTGTTGGTTTGCAGCACCATCTACTATCACCAATTTTCTTAAATCTACAGAACTCTTAATTCCCTTGACCCTGAGAGTATACCAACTTAGTCCAGAACATTTGTATGACTCTGAAAAAAGATGGTTGTTTTTTCTAGCAGTCCAAAGAATGATTTCACTAGAGTAGCACATTTGTGACATCAGAAAGCACCAAATTAAGAACGTAAGCATAGCACCACATGCATATAAAAATTCAAAACATTCTTTTGATGTGGCCTGTACTTCATTATAGCTCCCAATCAGATTTTCAACACCATCAGGTAAGCAGCCAATAATATTAACATCTCTTGAGGAGAACGTTTCCAACTGCTCTTTCAGAATGCAGTTCTTCTCCGATCATACTACTAACATTAGATATAGAGAAAAGCCTCTCTCTTGCACCATTCCCTCTTTGACATATTGCAGAATTATGCTGCATTGCTGAAATATCTTGAGGGAAAGTTACTAAGACTGGAGACCAGAATATGGACCAACCTGTTCATGGGAATCAATCAGCTTCTATCTTTTAGTTTTAACACTTAACGGAACAAATTGAAGATAGAAGCTGACTGGTTGCTATGCACAATTACTCCAGATTGTGGCTTCTTCAGTTTCATTAATTCACAGAAATAAGAAACACTCACTCTAAATAAGGAAAAAAATAGACTAGCTTTATTTTAAGACAATTTTGGCTAAGGAGCTCACTGAATACATTTGGGAGTTTAATGGTAATTTTGTGGCAAAAGAGTACAAGGATGATCTCATTAGTACTGCATCTCCTCCATTGTCCAATTACAATCCAAGTCAGGTTCTGGACCAGGCTATAGAGCTCAAATGGAGTGTAGACTGGAAAATGTTTTAGGACCAAAACCAAGCAAAGAAGTGTTTGAGATATCTGTTTATTTCTATACACAATAGTCCCCTAAATGCCACATATGTGGAAAATGATTTGGTTAGTCTTTAAAGTGATATTAAAGCTTACAATTTTTGAAAAATTAAAATAACAAACACGTTATACTTACCTGCTCTGTGCATTGGTATTTCACAGAGCAGCTCCGATCCTCCTCTTCTGTTGTCCCCTGCTGGCTCTCCTCCTCTTCTCCATGTGCCACCATAGGAAGCCACTTCCTATGGTGGCACACACACGTGGGCTTGCTCCTGAACCTCCACTATATGTGTCTATTGACACAAAACCAGGGCTCAGCCCTGCCCCACGCTCCCTCATCATAAGATTTGATTGATAGGAGTGGGAGCCCATTACTCCATTGCTATCAATCTGATCAGTGAGGAGGGACAGTCCCAGGACAGCCCCTGCTCTCGCGCACATTACTTGATCGAGATTGGACTCATGTAAGTATGAGGGGGGCTGGGGAAGGGGGAAATCCTCTACAACAGAAGGTTTTATACCGTAATGAATACAATCCATTGAGGTAAAAAACCTTAAGATTTTAGAACCACTTTAAGTCAGCCATGCACTAATAGATTTTCAAAAAAACAATTGTATGATCAGTCATATGAAAATTCGCCATTTATTCCATGACTTCCCAAATGTTGTTTGAAAGTACTTTAAAATGTTGTTTGCATTCAACATTCGATTTTGGAACCAATGGACTTCCCTGTATGAAAACCACATATACTGTTACATTGCAGTCGAAAACTAATGTTAATTTGACTCCACAACTGATTAGTAATTCAAAAAATATTGAGTGAAAATCTACTAGTGTATGGTCAGGAGAGCCAAATTCACCATTCACAGGAAGGACATGCTATTTCCAATGACACATATTTCCTTTATTGGCACTGAGGCGAATTGTATAATACTGCCACAGCAGTAAACCTAGATATGTGGAAAACATTTTAAAGTGGACCAATGATCTGCTGAGGGAAATGACAGGCTGAATATAAAGAATTAAGAAAAAGGAATTTGTCAAGGGTCCCTTGAGTTGTGCATTGTGCTATTCAAAATTTGCTGTCTGAACTACATGAGATGTGGCCATGATCAGGGTTTAGGTAAATTTATGCAGGGGCTGCCTTGTTTTGGTTTGTGATCTTTTTTCCACTGATTACATGTGTACCATCATGATTCATGGCTCCTGGCACTGAAAACATTGGATCAAAAAGGTACAGCTACAGTATGTGGATCAGATTTTTTTTTTCTTTTTTTTCAGTTTTCTGTCCTGGTTTGTTTGATTTCTAAGCTGTACATCGCAAACTGCAGATAAGGTAAAGCCAGTACACAGAGCAGTATTTTCATAGTTCTAGATCTCTGGAAACCACTCTCAAACCACAGTATAAAGCAGCCTTTCTCAACCAGGGTGCCCAGGCACCATGGGGTGCCTTGAGGTTTTTTTCAGGGGTGCCTTGGCAAGATGTCTAAAAAATTGCCCAAAACTTGTATACAAACCAGCGGGTGGAAGAAGCCTGCTTTTTTTTTACACAAAGCCACAGGTCTTCATTGTGTACCATTACAACCTTTTAGCCACCGGCATCCTGACAACCAATGACATCATCAGTTGATAAGGAGGATGTCAGCTGCCTGCACAGCTTCCTAGTTTGACCCTTCCCTGCCCCTCTCCATCAGTGCTGGGGTCACATTAGCTCAGTGATGGATTAAAACTGAGGGAGAAGAGAAACATGGGAATACTATTCAGTATCAGTGTGCAAAAGTGTATTTGCTTTGAAAGAATAAGTCATCTCTAATGTTGGGTGTCCTACATGTGTGGATGTTGCTGCGGTATATAAAACTATTAGAATAGTTTTTCACATTTTAGAATGGGGTGCCCTTTTAAAATGATGGACAGTCTTGAAGCACCACATTTTACAATGGGGTGCCTCAAGACTATCCAGAATTTTAGGTGCCTCGGGACTGTCCATAATTTTAAAGGGTGCTTTGACTGAAAAAAGGTTGATAAACACTGGTATAAAGAATGCCAGTATAAGAGGCTACATTTGCAAAGTTGTTTGGTGTCTCTGAACATAATAAAATAGCCAATATGTTTTAAAAGCAAAATTATCCTTTACGTAACAGAGATTTCCAGCTAGGGTTCTTGACATAATCTAGGTTATCAAATTTGCAGTGCCTGTCAAATTAGGCTTATTTACTAAATTCCTATCTAGGGAGTTACAAAGAACTGAAAGCATGATCCTTAATTGACAGTTTAATCCTCTTACTGTAATACGACGATGGCATCAGTTCTTC